GGGTCAAGATCTCACCGAACGATTTAAGGTAGGTGAGATCGGAACAGGTGGGGCTTGTAGGGACCTGGCGGTCGTTCCTCTTGGAGCTGTGGCCCCTGCCGATACCGGCGGGCCTATCGGCGCCGTAGTGGAGGCCGCTTGGTTCTAACCGGTTCCCTGTGCCTGGTGGCGCTTCTACGTGGTGCCTTGAACGAGGGTCCACCTTGGGATATGGATCCGACGGATGCCGAGCTCAACGCGATCACGGACTTGAACGGTGTACTGGCTTGGGCTGGGGTGGACGGTCAACTTGCCGTGGCTCTTAGGGCCGCCTTGGGGCAGCCTCAGAAGGTACGAGAGATCGCCCTTATTCCCCGCCTGCCTTGGGATGGTGCGATCCAGGCCCTTCGGGTTCAGGAAGTGGATGCCGATGGTAATGCCGCAGGAGCTCCCCGTGAGACATCATTGGTGGAGAAGGCACGCCTGGAATCAGTGAGGCGAGTTAGCTTGCTACGTATGGGGGTGACGCCTGATGGCCCTGGCGCTCCAACGCCGGCCGGGCCAGCCCCCGTAGCAGCGCCCGCAGTGAGCCCGTCCGCCACAGGATCGCGCAAGCTCAAGCTGTCGGCCGTCTTGGATCCCACATTGGATGCCGACGTGACCGCGATGGAGCACAGCGAGCTGCAACGCCTGTACTCAGACTACAAGACGAAGTATGGCGACTTCCCGGCTCCGGAAAGCGACCCTTCAGCGGACCAGCTCGCAGCCCTTAAGCAGGTCATACAAGCCGGAGCTTCGCCTTACACGGACTTCTCGCTGTTTGGCCCGCACGGGCTCCGGTTGCTTCGGAAACAATCGTTTACTTCGTACGTCCTCAATGCCGCTACGGGGGAATGGACCAAGAAAGAACAGCCTGGGCCGAACAGTTTTCACGCTTGGTTCGAAGCCTGGAAAGTCCTCCGCACAGCCTTGCTGCTCCTTGAATGTGTGGACGCTGAGCGCCTCGACTCCTATGCCGAGCACATCAGGTCCTACGTCACTCAGTTTGGGGACGTCGCGTGGTGGATCATCTATCGAGCCGAGAACCGCATGCGAGCGGAGCAGATGGAGCGGCTGCGGCGCAAGCTCCACGATCGCCCGGAGTTTGGGTTCACGGGAGCCCGCCCTTGGAATGCGGTGTATGCGGCTGCGATTAAGGATACGGAGTTCTGGGCGCGAGAGCTTGTGACACCGGCCACGCTGTGGTTGTCACAACGGGCTGAGCCCGCGCCTCCCGTACCAGCTGAGGACGAAGTCCCTCGCAGACCGGGCAAAGCAAAGCGCAAGTACACGGGCGAGGACCAGAGCACCAAGGCCGGCGACGTGTACATCCTCAACCGGAAGGGCATCACCATCTGTGAGGATTACAACCGTGGGCGCTGTGGGTCGAAGAAGCCACAGAGCAAGTGCAAAGATCGGAACAGCCATCAGTGCAACGTGTGCCTGGGAGCTCACCAGGCATTGGAGTGCCCGAAACGCCGCTGACTTGAGGGCGGGGTGGATGCTGTCCAGAGGGCGTCCTCCCAGCCCTTGGCTGGGGACGCTTCTGGGGCACCACCGTCCGCGTCCTCAACTGCTGTCACGGGCGGTCGCAAAGACTACTTGCCCCCGACCCCGAAGGCACGCTCGTCGAAGCCGGTCCAGAGGCTTGACGACACAGCTACGGCAATACGGCGCTCAACAGCTTCGAACACTTCCACGGCTCCCGAACCAAGGCCACCGCTCAAGCGCCGCCGGCCTGAGGATGAGACTCAGGCGGCTCACATCATACCGCCTGCTGGGTCTATGGTGCCCTACTTCAAGCCATTACCAGCAGGACCGCGACCATATGGTACGTGGGTGGCGAAAGCCGGCTCTGCAGCAGAGCAGCGACCCTGGGCCCTCGTCCTGTTTTCAGGGCGGGCCCGTCGAGGCGACCTCACCAGCTGGCTGGCTCACTACGGTTTCTTGGTGTGTGCCATCGACACGGCGGCCCCCGAGCCAGTTGACCTACTAGACGAAGCTCATTTTACCCCGCTCTTCCAGGACGTCTACCCTGGCAAGTTCTCGGTGGCCTGGGCCGCCACTCCCTGCGGGAGCTTCTCGCCGCTCCGCGAGAGGAGACCGGGGCCACCCCTTCTGCGCACAGCCGAGCATATAGAGGGCTTGCCGGACTTGGGCAAGAAGGAGAAAGAGAAGCTGCGCGAGGCCAACCTGCTAGTGGAACGCACTGCGGATGTCCTCAGCGTTATGTGGGAGCAGCGCGCCACTTGGGGATTGGAGAACCCCGACCATCCGCCGGGCAAGCCTTCCATTTGGCTAATGCCCTTGGTGAAGGAGATCGCAGACTACGATAGGGTGTCACAGGTCAGTTTTGACCAGTGCACCTTCGGCCTTGACACCGTGAAGCCTACCCGCCTCATGTACGCCAGCCATGTGGATTTCAGCAAGCTTGACGGGCGACGATGCCAGCACCCCAAGGGCACGCACCAGAGCACAGCTGGACGACAAGTTGCGGACGACTGGGGCAACCGTCAGTGGGCATCGAAGGATCAGGGTGAGTACACTGCACACTTCTCACAGGCCATCGCCGAGGCACTTTACCAGGGCTACCGCAAGCAGGCCCTGGAGAAGGAGGATCTGTGAGAAGCTGATTTCGAGGCCCTTCCCTCTCGGGGCCCGCAATCTGAGAGGGAGGCCGAGAACATCAGGGCTTTGGGTGGCCTCAGGAATCCCCGGCGTGCTTTGGAGAGGCTTCCGCGCTCCGCTGCTGTTGGGAGAGGCATTCGGCGGCTGCTTGAGCAAGCCCTTCACCTATGGCCCGAGCTTCTGGACCCGGCAGTGGCAATTCTCCGTGGGGAAGAGCCGGCGGAATTCAACAATACTGTGGTCGAGTCGGTGCGGTCCGCCGTACTCACAGCACTTGGGGCACCCGAGCATGTTCGGAAGAGGCGCCGGACTGCGCCTGCCAACACTCCGATACAGGCAGCAGTTCTCCAAGCGTGGGGCCTCGCGACAGACGATCCAGATGCGGAGGTTCTCTCAGAGTGGTTGGATAATGGAGCCCCCCTCGGCATCGAGCAAGCAGTGCCAACAACTGGCATTTTCCCTCCGGTGTCCGCGAGCTCGCAACTCCCCGCTTCACAGCTTGACAGGCGTACTCTGGAAGGATGGGAGAACTACCCGTCAGCCCAACAGGAGTCGCAAGTCCTCAGGGAGCTTCTTGCCGACTACGCGGAAAGGGGCTTTTGCACTTTGGCGACCACGCCCGAGGAGGCAGCAAGACTGCTTGGAGGCACACCTGTGCTTAACAAGCTGGGAGTGATCGTCAAAGATAAAGTGGACTCCCGAGGCAGGCCAGTGCGCAAAGCTCGTGTGATCTGGGACTTACGGGAGTCACGGGTCAATCAAGCTTGCTGCCAGGGCGAACGCATACTGCTTCCTCGCCTCCTAGACGTTGTGCTCTCTTTGCTCAACGTGTACCGCAAGGGGGGCAAACCTTATTTGGCAGGTATGGATATACGCGATGCGTTTATGAATATCCCAGCAGGAGCCGACCGCAAGTACACTGCAGCAGCGGTGCCGGGTGCCATCGTGGTGTTCAACACCCTGGTCTTCGGCTCCGCGTCTTCGCCAACGCTTTGGGGACGCATGGCTGCTTGGCTTGGTCGCAGCACCGCCGCAGTCACCAACACGGACCCCCAGTGCTATGTCGATGACCCCATCTTCGTGCTCTTCGGCCCGGGGCTAGGGGCTGCAGCCAAGGATTTGGCAGTGGCACTACTGTGGATAGCCGTGGCAGGCTTCCCCACCAAACTCGGCAAGGCGAACGGAGGCAAGGTCATCGACTGGGTAGGGGCTCGCATCGAGTGCCACGATGACGAGCAGACAGTCGTCGTCACGCTACCCGCACAGAAGATCTCGCAGCTCGCCGAGCAGGTTGAGAAGATGTTGAACCGTTCCGTTGTGGGAGCCCGTGAGCTCAGGTCACTGGCCGGTTCACTGTCCTTCGTCGCTGGACTGGTTCCGCACCTTCGCCCGTTTCTTTCGACGTTCTGGGCGGTGCTCACCAAGTTTGAATTGACGAGTGAAGGCAAGCCGTTTGGCAAGGCTCGAAAGTTGATTCATACGAGGCGCATCGCACCGGGACTCAGATGGGTGCGCGCGTTGTTGCAAGCCGGCACGCTTCGAAAGACATTCTTGGCCAACCCGCCGCACACGGACTTCGAAATAGTGACAGATGCGTCCCCTTGGGGCATCGGCGGCATCTTGCGACACAAAGGTGAGGCCTGCGAGCTTTTCTTTTCGTGCCTCCCTGACACCGTTCTCCACAAGTTTGGAGCTGAGCGCGGCGTGTCAAAATTTAACACGCTCTGGGAGGGCTTGGCACTCCTGGTCGCGTTCCGCTTGTGGCTGCCCTCGCTCCCCTACGGGGCAGTCTATCGGGCAAAGTCCGACAACCTGGGTTTCTTACGAGCCCTTGCTAGAGGCAGCGCAAAATCCCCTGCACTTAATGTGCTTGCCCGGGAGTTCGCTTTGGACGAGGCACTGAGGTCGTACCAAGTCCGAGGCCTCTCGCACATTCCGGGCATCAGCAATGTTCAAGCCGATGCTTTGTCAAGGATTTTCTCCCCAGAGCCGAAGCACTTCCCTCCAGAACTGGAGCACGTGCCGGCCCGAGCAGTCGACTTTGCGACTGACTTCTGGAAAGTGTGAAAACGCTTGCTGTTCTAGCTGCTGCAGGAGGCTGGGAGGGTTTTGCCTGCTCCCACCGTTGAGTTCTTCGCAGTGTCTTGCGTGCCTTGCCGGTGTCTAGCTTTCTTCTCAAGGGCCTGGCATCTACGCGGCCCTGCCTCTTTGGGCGGCTGCAGAGGAGGCCAGCTTGCAAATGATCCGGTTTAGCACCGAGCCATGTCAAGCTGCTGTCGGACTGCAAGACTGCAAATACTTCCACGTCGTTTGCGGGTGGGCACCTAACGGTTTGCCCTATTTTGGGGGGAGGGAGGGCTTCCACCGGACCCTTTCCCTATTTCCCCCCCCCCTCGTTTGGCAGTGACCAAAGCAAAGTTTCATGTGCTTCTCCGCAGGGGGAGCTCTTGTATTCCTCCCGCACGATAGCTGCGTGATACCTTGGCAATGCCACGTCAAGGCAAGGTTCCAAGTCACTAGGATACCAGCCTGTTACCATTTTCACCCACGCGAACCAAACACGCCAGAGGCAGGTGGGGGAGCTACGCCTTTCGTTTGTTGGTCCTTTTCTGTGTCAGGTCATGTGGGTGATATCTTGCCCTCCTGAGTTTTCGGAGCAGTGAAATCCTGACCCGATTAGCAGGAAGCGCGACCTGACGACCAACATCGAATAAAATGAGCGTCCCTCTAGCGCATGCGCGTCCCCATGTCCTATGGCGGTTGTTTGGGGAGCGGTTTAGGAATTGTCG